AACCATCCGGTATTTTTCTTTCTCTTTCTGGCTTATCTCACTAAGCATGATCTTTTCCAGCTCCATCCAAGTTGCTGCAAAAGACATGAGAAACACTATTTTTTGATACATTTCTGAAATATGTATACCAAATTGTTTGTGGCTGAAATAATTTCATCATTTGTGAAAAACTTGTGGGGAAGATTTTTTTTGAAGATTTATTTATTTATATATATAGAACTGGGATATAGGCTAGAGGTGCAGGGGCAGTGAGAGGTCTCACCAGAGATAGAGCAGAGAGCAGAACAGGCAGATCGACAAAGTACACCACTGAGAGGAGCAGCGGGTGAGACTTGAGAGGTCTGCTGCTCCATGTGGGTCTCCTCCAGGGGCGGGGATCTAACTCCCACTGAAGCTGCTGCAGCTAGCTTGCAGTGCTGGGTCCTAACCTGTTGGCCACCAGGGAGGGCTGGAAAGATTTTGATGTTATTTCTAGGACTTTGCTTTCTTCTTGGGATGTGCATATTTAATTTAACAATAGTGAGATTTTTTTATTTTTAAAGATTGATTTATTTATACATACAGAACTGTGATACAGGCCAGAGGTGCAGGGGTGGTGAGAGGATTCACCACAGACAGAGTAGGGAGCAGAATAGGCAGATCGACAAAGTACACTGCTGAGGGGAGCAGCGGGCGGGTCAGGAGAGGTCTGCCGTGCCATGTGGATCACCTCCGGGGCAGGCAGGAATCGAACTCATGCTGCAGTGTCTTTAGCTTCTCAGTGCTGTGCTTTAACCGACTGTGGGCCAATAGTGAGATTTCTTTTTTTAATTTTTAATTTTTTTTGTGGCTTTTTCCATCTCAGTTGTAATCCCTGTGGGCTTTCTATCACCAAATCGCCCATGTGTCATCACCATAGCCCAGTACACTTCCCTTCCTTTACTGTTTTTGATCCCATTCCACCTCCATAAATAATTATTCATTATTATTATTATTATTTTTCTCCCCTGGCCTTTTATACTCCTGTTATGAGTGAAACCATCTGGTATTTTTCCTTTTCTTTCTGGCTTATTTCCCTAAGCATGATCTTTTCCAGCTCCACCCATGTTGCTGCAAAAAACATGTGTTTCTTTTTTTTGGTTGCTGAGTAATATTCCATTGTGTATATGTACCACATCTTTTTTTTTTTTTTTTAAAGATTTATTTATTTGTGCATACAGAACTGGGGTACAGGCCAGAGGCTCAGGGGCGGCGACAGGCTTCACCAGAGACAGAGTGGGGAGCAGAACAGGCAGATCGGTGAAGTACACTGCTGAGGGGAGCAGCGGGCAAGTCAGGAGAGGTTTGCTGTGCCATGTGGTCACCTCCATGTCAGGCAGAATCGAACTCATGCGGAAGCGGCTTTAGATTCTCAGTGCTGTGCTTTAACCTGCTGCGCCACCAGGGAGGGCCTGTACCACATCTTTTTAATCAAGTCATCTACTTTTGGACATTTGGGTTGTTTCCATGTCTTTCCAATTGTAAATAAAGCAGCAGTAAGTATGGGGGTGCAGGTGTTTTTTTTGAATCGTGTTTTTGTGTCTTTTGGGTAGATACCTCGGAGTGGGATTCTGGGTCATATGGAAGCTCCATTTTTAGCAGTTTTAGAAATAGTTTTCTAAACAGTTTTCCTTAGTGGGAGTTTGCATTCCCACCAGCAGTGCAGGAGAGTTCCTTTTTCTCCACATCCTTGCCAACATTTGTTGTTGCTAGTTATTTTAAGATGTGCCATTCTCAATAGTGAGATTTTTTAAAATTATTATTTATTTATGTATACAGAGCTGGGGTACAGGCCAGGGGTGCAGGGGCGATGAGAGGATTCACCAAAAACAGAGTGGGGAGTGGAGAGGGATGTGGACAAAGTACTCTGCTGAGGGGAGCAGTGAGGGGGTCAGGAGAGGACTGCTGCACCATGTGGGTCACCTCTGGGACAGGTGGTGATCGAACTCATGCGGAAGTCGCTTTAGCTTCTTAGTGCTGTGCTTTAACACACTGTACCACTAGGGAAGACCCAATAGTGAGATATTTTATCATAAAATAGGGATAGTAAAATTACATATGAGGTGAATTGATTTCCAATTAGAATCTTCTAGTAATTTTTTTGTATGTATATTCTTATTTTTTGTGCAGTTGAGGAAGATTGGGGGTGGGGGCTTTGGAGAAATTTACGATGCCTTGGACATGCTTACCAGGGAAAATGTTGCACTGAAGGTGGAATCAGCTCAACAACCGAAGCAAGTTCTGAAAATGGAGGTTGCTGTATTGAAAAAACTACAAGGTAAGCTGCTTTGTATGATACAACAAATGATTTATTATTTATTGTTATCTTTCTGAAACTTACAGTCTCTTAACTATTAATTGAATACTTTGGTATTAGCTTGGTATGAACACTGATCATTTTCTCTTGGAAATTTTATTATTATCTACTAGAAGTAGAAATGTTTATTACTTAGAATAATTAGAATTTGAGTATTCCTTTTCATGGTGAGTAGGAATGAGTGTGTGTGAATTAGCTGACAGTGTTTTCTTAAGTCTCTAATGATAAAATTCTCTCTTGTTTTATATGACAAATACCTTCAAGTTGTTTCTACTTATCTCTCTGGATATTAAACATGCTTTAATCACATTAAGGAATAGATGCCTTCAAATCACACTGCATAATGAATTAAACATAATATTGTTTGTTATGTGTTGATTTCAATAATACCAATTTCATAGAACTCTTTCTGGCTCTAGTCATAGTTGAAGTTCATTTTACTATTTGAATTCTTGTTTTTTTCACTAAAGGGATATATTTTTTTCCTCTGACATTAATCTAGTGATGTAAAACTCTGAACCCATTGCAAGTTTGTATTCATCTTTATATTTTTAGTTTGATGATATAATGTGATACTGCTGATATTTAATATTTGATCTGAGTCAGAATTAAATTAGGATGATTAGCACATTAAATGATCTTGTTAATTTCTAAGAGGTTTGCTTTGTAATAGGACATTCATTAATATCTGAAACTATTTAGTACTGACATTTAGAGCAAAAGAAGTTGCTGTCATTGGTGGAAGTAACTGCAAGGGAAAAATGCTTTGTAGACTAGGACCCTCAAATTTGTGACCATGTAGTCTCTATGGTGAATTTACTTTGTAAGTCCCTGATGTATATAGAATTCTAGTATGTTGATTCCTATTATGTAAATGAAATGTGTATTACATGTTTTGGCAAAGTCTATTATTTTAATTGTCCTTTCCCCTTAAACTTTCTGATCATCCAAGTTCTCTACCAACTGGCTCATTTGATTATAGCTTGATGTTAATAAAATTGTAGATATGTTTAATAGTAATTTTAGTCCAAATCTAGCTTTCCTGGAATGTAGGAAATGAGAAATATAATTGATAGATCATGCCTGTTATCACTACTAGAAAAAGTGAATAATTAAAGAAGAAAGAATAGAGTAATTGGAGAAGAAAGAATGAAAAAAAAAGGTATTTTCTTTTCTCTTATTCTTTTGCACTTTTCCTCAGCCCAGTAATCGAGGTTACAAACAAATATAACTAAACCTATTTCTTCCTGGGTTGCACAGATCTTAGGAGGTCTGTTTTAAAAGGTCAGTATCAATTTTTATGTAGAAAGTACTGCTTCACCTATTTTTCTTCCAACTTGGCCCTGAGGATATGCTTTCAGGGGAGGCAGGATTTAGCTCTGTGATCCTTTAATTAGGTTCTCTTGCCTATTTTAGTCCTGGCTTACCCAGAATTCTACATAATAAAGCTTGAAGATTAATTTAGAACCTTTTAATAGTTGGAGACCCTTGTAGACTTACTGTTGTTTCTATTTTATCTTTGATACTCTCACCTAAAACATTTTTTTCTACCAACTTATAAACCTCATGGCATCTTGTTCCACAGAACCTTTCACTTTTAAAAAATAAATAGATTTCTATCTTCTAGTCTATGTTACAATAAGGGTTGTCCTTGACTCTCTTCTTGGCTTCCTAATTTATGCCTTCTATATACTTATATCTGATAGTGTAACTTATGGAACTGAGCTGCTCTTGCCTTGCTCCTGCATAATGACTTTTCACTGTGGAAAAGGTATATAACCAGAGACTAAGAACTTTTTCATAGGATTGGCAGGTTTTAAATTGATACTCTGTTTTTGAGAGTCGGTATAAGGAAAATACATTTTTTGATGAATTTTGCCTGAACCCTAAAGGTTGTTTTTGGAGGAAAATCACCCTACTTTTTCACAATTTTTTTTAAAAGATTTATTTATTTGTACATAAAGAACTGGGGTACAGGCCAGAGGCTCAGGAGTGGCGAGAGGCTTCACCAGAGACAGAGTGGGGAGCAGAACAGGCAAATCTACGAAGTACACTGCTGAGGGGAGCAGCGGGCGGATCAGGATAGGTCTGCCACGCCATGTGGTCACCTCCGGGGCAGGCGGGAATGGGACTCATGCTGCTTCAGCTTCTTAGTGCTGTGCTTTAACCCGCTGCGCCACCAGGGAGAGCTTTTTTCACAATTTTTATGTCTTTTTCCTTGGTGCTTAATTTTCTCTTTTCTTTACTTAACAACCCTAGATTTTCTCAGTTCATGCATAACTCTGATTACTGATGTTACTTTGTTATAGTCCAAAGTGTGAATGCCTTAGCATTTCTTCTCATCTTTTCTTCTCACCCTCTCACTAGTGCAGTTGTAGCCTGCATTTCGCTCTTGAATTGTACTTGATTTGTACAGATATGCTTGAAAGTTTTAGTTACTTCTAAAGTTAAACCATCATCTGTAAGCTTGTTTAGGTAACATTTTCCTATACTCAGTGGTTATTCCTGAAATGTCCACAGAATCAAAACTTACTACTGTAATTTTTTTCCTTTTATTAACATCACTTTTCAGAGATACATCTTAACCATTTGTCTACCTTCCTTTTCTCCATTTGTTACTAAGTTGTCTTCATTTATTTGCTTTAAACTCTGTAAAGGAGATAATTGTCTCCTTATCTTTTATTTTTTCTCTTCTCTCCCATCTCAAAGTAAATGTTTTCTAGTGACATTTTGCCTATCATTTCTCTGTTTTCATGATCTCTTGGGCTATATCTCTCAACTTACCAAACTTTAAAAAATTACTTTTTAATATATACAATTCATTTGCAGCACTAATTGAAGAGGAAAAAATCTTTTGTTCCATGATTTCAATTATGACCACAGGAACCTATTGTTGATAATTTTCAAAGTTAAGTTTCCATTTCATTGTTAAAATTTGACACATTTCCAGAATTCTGTAGTGAAATAGGCAAATCTTAAATTTTCTTTTATCTCCTGATTTTTTATTATGAAAACTTTCAAGAATATGAAAACAGTTATATAATGACCATTCAGATATCCAATACCTTCAATAAGTATTAGCATTTAGCCAGTCTTATTACTGCCCTACTCCTTCAACTTTTTTTTCTACTTTGCCTAGAGTATTTGAAAATAATTCCTAGATGTCATGTCATCTGTAATTTCTGTATATATACTTCTGTAAATATACTTCTGTATATTTCTCTATCAGATAAGAATATCCTTTTTAATGAAAATATTCTTTATTTCATTAATTGGTGAACTACCAGTCTGTTAGGCATCTATGGAATTGAAGTGGGGGTTATTTGGAAATGTATTGAAATTTGACACATTAACTTGCCTAGAAGAGCTTGGTTGACTATTGATTTTTGTGAATCCACTGAAATGTATCTTTTAGGCCATTGGAAGGCTGAACCAATTACCACTCACCAATATAAAAAACACCCCAAAACAAAAGACCTCTCCTCCACCAATAATACAGTGACATGAGAACATATTAGAGGAAATTTTGGGGGATTTATATTACTGAGAAAGTGAAAGAATAAGGCCATGGAAACCCCTAGTGACTAGTTTTAAGAATGGATTAGAGAGGAAGCCCATGTTTCAGGTTTTCTTTTTAGTTACTAGCTTTTTTAGAACCATTTTAAGTTTACAAATAAGCTGAGCATATACCCCACCTACTGTTCTATTAATATCTTACATTAGTATGGCAAATTTGTTAAAATAGATGAATCAATATTGATATTATTAACTAAAGTTCATAATTTACATCAGGAGACTGCTTTTTTTTTTTTTAACATAAAACCAATAGCATTAAATACCCGATGCCATCTGATGTCTAGCCAGTATTTATATCATCTCAAAGATAATATTTTACATTTAGCTTATTCAGATAAGGATTCAAATACATGACAGGTATCTTGCATTTGGTTGACATTGCTTTGAAGTCTTTCAATCTATAAGAGTTATCCCTCCTCTACCCCCTATTTTTTGGGGAGGAGGGGGAAGGTAGAAGGCTTGTCCTTTTTTTGGTGAAGAAATGAAGTGCTTAGTCTTATTTAAACAAACAAAAATGTCCAAATTCTGGATTTCACTGATTCCATCCTCTTATTTATTTATTTTTTAACAAGTTCTTGTATCCTCTGTGTTTCCTATGAATAGGTAGTTTACATCTAGAGATTTGATGAGATTCCTGTTGTTATCATTTTGGCTTAGAGACATTTTCTAGAGCTTCTGTTTCTTGTAGGGATTGGAAAGTGATGATTTTTCTAATTCTGTTATTCCTTTGAAGTTTCTTAACTGGGTTTTTCCTGCAAAATAGAACTTTATTTCATCAGTTGTTTGTGTCCCTTAAAACACAATGATTGCAAAAAGGGCAGGATAAAGGAAAGGCTTGATTTTTTTTTTCTTCCCAATTTTCATAATGTAAACCTTTATGGAACCAGTGAGTTGTTTCATTTGCATGTTTTTAGGATCACTATGAACTCATGAGTTTTTATATTTTATTTTAACAGTTATTCTTTTAGTGCCAAATTTTTACATCTTTGACTAGTGTAAACCCTTTCAAGTTGGCTCTGTCCTTCTGACATAGTTCTGGTGTTCTTTAATATCATCCTTGCTTTCTCACACAGAAGTAAGTATATTTTAGACTTAACATTCAACTTTCCCTGAGCTGTAACTAGATCGGTAACACTATTTCTCTGAGAAATCCTGTTTTGGGAAACAATCAGGAGCCACAGTGTGAGCACTAGGGCACTAATTGTTCTTGACCCAACAAATTTGTCTCAATAAGTTTTAATAAATAATAGATTCTGCCTGATTTATTTTCATACACAATTTTTCATTTATTTGCATTATTTCCTTTTGAAAAATACATATGTGCTCTCTTTTAAATTGAAAGCATTTTAACAGATAGGAATTATATACAGATCTTCCTTAACCAC